AGAAGAAACAAAGAAGGATCCAGTAATCCCACTTCAGGGTATTTATCTGAAGAAGCCCAAACACTACTTCAAGGGGACATATACATCTATATGTTCATAGCAACATTGTTTACAATGGCCAAGATGTGGAGGCAGCCTGGGTTTCCATTCATGGATAAAGAGTAGGTGCTACATATATACAATGGAATATTGCTCTGCCAGGGGAGGGAGTGGGTTCTTGCCATCCGCTATGGCATGGATGGACCTGAGGGTGTTGTGCTGAGTGGAGCATGTCAGACAGAGAAAGACAGATGCAGCGTGATTTTGCTTATATATGGAATCAAAGAACAAAATGAACAAACAAAACAGAAATAAACTCATAGATACAGAGAACATTTTGATGGTTGCCAGATAGGAGGGCATTTGGGGGGCAGGGTGGGCAAAAAAGAGAAAGAGATTAAGTGCAAATTGGTTGTTACAAAGTAGTCATGGGGATGTAGGGTATAGCATAAGAAATGTAGTAAATAATATTGTAATAACTATGGCATTAGATGAGTACTAGATTTATTAGGGTGATAGATGGGAGGGAGGCTTGGGGGCAGGGTGAAAAAGGTGAAAGCATTAAGAAGTACAGACTGGTAGTTACAAAATAGTTATGGGGATGTAAAGTAAAGCATAGGGAATATAGTCAATAATATGGTAATAACTATGTATAGTGTCAGGTGGGTACTAGACTAGTCATGGGGATCCCTTCTTAAATTATATAAATTGTCTAATCATTATACTGTTTGCCTGAAATGAATATAAATATTGAATATAAAAATTAAAATTAAAATTAAAATTAAATGGGTGCAATTATCACCTAAAAAATAAAATCAACCAGAATTTATGGAACTTTAATAAGTGACATTGTGCAATTTTAACACTTGCAATTTTTGGTTTCAAATTACATGGACAAGCTTAACAGGAAATGATGATTGATGAGATTATATGATAACTGATAAAGAATAATTCTCTCCAACTCCGTATGAAAGTTAATTGATAATACATCTTAATAGTCATAAAACAATCATCCACTGATCCTCTGCCTACAGCAAACGGGCATCTAGGCACGCAAATGCATATTTGTGTCCAGGAAAAAATGTGCTGTAGCTCTTGATTACAAGTATTTTATTTCAGCAACAAGTCAATCCCCACAACAAACATGGATGTGCCAGGCTCTCCTACTTTGGTGGCACCAACATCTAGCAAAGTCAGATTGCCCTGAATTTCCAAGCAGTAAATGAACAACCTTCTGATGATAATTTGGTTTCTCATGTAGACTGATCTTAGGGAGAGAATGTTCTCAGCAGCCAAAACTAAGGCTGTGGTCTACATGGTAGTTATGTTTCTTATAATAACATAAAGTATCTTTCTGGGTTGTTTTATTTTCCAAAAGAAAGTACACCCATTTGATAACATGTTATGTCCTCTGCGAACTTAGAAATGCTCAATGAACAGAAGGCTCTATGCCCAAACAAAGATTCTTGTATTATACCTACTCTTTAACTTGTTAAAATGTAAATGGTCAACAGGGCCAGAAAGTTGCGCTTAGCTCACTCTCAATGGTGGATTGAATTACATTTGCATGAACCTGTCAAGATAAAGTTACCCCTCCGATATTGCTTCCTTCTCTCCTCCTCCCTTCTCGCTGGACCCCAACCCTATCCCCAAACACAACATTGCCCAGCCCTTAAGAAAAGGCCTGAGAGAGGCCCAATGGAGAGGGCCAAGTGTAGAGGTGTGCCATTCTGAAAGTAAATATCCATTATTCTTCTTAATACCACACCCTCGGGGCAGGGCAGGCCAGGGGTCAGTTTTGCATCCTAGTTCTGCAGCCCAGGATGGCATCAAGATGGTCTGGTGTGTAGGCAATGAAGAGCCACAGTTTAAACAGGGGAAACCTTCAGCTTGGGATGTGATGTAAAATGAAGGTTAAAATATAGCATTGAAAATCGTCATAATCATTCTAAGAAAAGTCATTCTCAAGGGAACTTAGCAGAGAAATAAACCAGAAGTATATACACAAAAATTGCCTGAACCACATCAATTTGCTAAACCTACATCTGGAATGTTTTTGTTTTGTTTAAGGCAAGTAAAATGTGAATTTAAAAAAAAGAAAGAAAACCAGTTTCCTAAGTTTTGAAATAGTGTGTTTTGGGTGACAATTTGTAAGAGAACTATACCGTATTTGCCGGCGTATAAGACGATTTTTTGGCCCTGAAAAATATGCCTCCAAGTGGAGGGTCGTCTTATACGCCAGGTACACTTCAGATAGACTG